TTAATTCATCAAAATTGGTTCTAATACAAATATATTTTTCATTTCTCTTTAAACACAATATTTTTTATCCTGCTCTTGACTTAATCTAAGAAAAAGAGACATAATTTTAAAAATGGTATAAATTGGAATAAATCCTATCTAAAATGGCAGTGAGAAGTTTACATTAAAACATTTTATTATAGTAGGAATTTTATGCGCTAGTATCATCCTTTAGAAAATATAACTATTTTTAAAATTCCAATGTAGGTTTCTACTACACAGGCATATATTATCTATAAAATCTTTTACTTATCGAGGAATCATTTTTAAAATTTGTACATTATACCAGACTTAAATGATATTAAAATGTTCGTTAATATTAATATTTTGAATATTTGTAGGTATTACAACTTCTTTAAGTTTATCTACCAGCCATATGGCCAATTCCCGTGGCAGGGTAACAGCAGCCTCGAATAAAAACAAAACATTCACAATGGAAGCTCCACGCTGTCTGAGTGGCATCGTTGCAGGTTGCAAGTGTGTGCGAGTGTCTCACTTGATTACCCACGAGCTGCAAATTCATTTCTGCCTCCTTTCTTCGCAAGTCGCCGGAGAATATGGAGATCGGGAATAGGGGATCGGGGACTACAGAAGAAGACAGCCTTCAGGGGCTCTTATGGTCAGTATTCTTTTTTTCGCAATGTTTTCACTGTGTTCCAGTTGCAAGCGGTAAAGTGATGCTGAGGGACGCATCTGCACACATAGTGACCCAATGATCTACAAAGGGCGCGGTCTGCCCAAAGATAACAAGGGAAAGAAAGAACTGGAAAGAGGTGGTCAGAATAAAAGTGAAATCAATCGGATTGGAGCTTAATCAATCCATTTAAAACATGAAAAGGAAGGGAGCTGCTTTGGAACATATATATGAGTTCGAAAATGTTGTAACATTATTTACTTTCAAAATTAATTTATTTAATCAAACAAAAATATGTGTTTAGCCTTTGGGAAATGTGTCTCAATTAAAACCAATTTAAGAACTAGTTCAAGAAACCAAGCACAAATATTAACTTATCAAATTATCTATTAAAATAATCAAGGATCTTAAATTCATCCCAATACCAAAAAACATCTCAAATAATAAAGATTAAGAGCGAAGTGGAAAATATAATAGACAAATCTATTTAATAGGTCCATGAATTTAAAACAATTGATAGTTTATCAATTCCGATTTATGGCCACAGTTTTTCTCTGTGTACGCATGCTCCCATTACCCCTTACCCTCATTTCAGCTTCCTCCTCTCCATTCACTTCCACTTATTATTGTTGATAGCTTGTCCTTGAACTTGACCCAGCAGCTGTGGCAACGAAGTCGATCTGCCCTTTATTATTATAATTTTTCTTTATGCTCTCTCTTTATCAAGCAGTATAGTACTACACAAGTGCTCACTATAATTAATCAGTTGCCGCTGGGTGAGACTGTATGGGATCTTGTGAGGGGCTACTTATCGGTTGGGGGTCCCTCTGGGGGCCCCGTCACCCAATCTCCGATCGCCGACTGTTGTAATGAATTGTTTAATCTCGCTTCATTCACAGCTTTTTTTGCGCATTTAACATTTTTTAATTTGACACCTTGCCAGCAGATCTGTTTGCACTTCTTGCCCTGATAACACCTAAATACGTCTTAAAAATTCATGAATTTTAATTGGACTTCGAGCTTATCGTTTTACGAGTAGCGGAAATGGCCAAGAGATCTGCGGGAACTGAGAGGAGGTTACGAAGATGATAAGGCTAAAATAAGAATTTCAGACTCAATATTGAAAGATGAAATATTTTGTTTACATGACCTTTTAATAGGTGTTAAAACAATTAATGTTATACTTATTAGCGGCATTATATAAGCTATGCCGCCCGAGATTTTTATTATAAAAGGGAATTCTTCAAGATACTTTTTTAGAAATCTTGCAAGTTATTAAGATAATCTTTATTTTTCTTCACATTTTGACTGAAGTGCTTAAAATATTCGAAAGAAATGGTTTAAGTGGTGTATTTATGGATGTCCAACATTCATGTTATAGTTACTAAAACTTTTCGTTTTAAGCAGAAACATTTAATGTATGATTAATTCACAAACCATCCCTTAAATAATATTTTAAGACGTTGAAATATATATATGTATATGTATGTATATTTCTTATTTAATTATTAATAGCAATGCAAACCCGGTTTGCCATGTAAGTTCATATAATTAGACCTAAATAAGTCGCAAACTATTAAGCATACGCATTGTTGGCCCGCAAAAGTTATCACCCAAAAGACACGTGTGGGGGCCTATGACGAAATTTCCATAAAAAAAGCGTCAATTGCAAACAGCGGCAACCAAACCACATAAATAACCCAAAAACAAAGTGAAAAATGACAATAAAAAGAAGTAACAATTTAAATAGCGCCATCCACTGAAATTGTAGACAAGCAGACGGAGGGGAGTAGGGTGTTAATAAGCGAAGGTAATGCGAGTAGCTATCGAAATTTCCACCTAGACATTCACCAAATATTTTGCAACCGTTTCTGATGACCTATGAGAAAGTCTGGGAAAGTTGAGCGATAATCGAAAAATATGTCACTGCAGAGTGGGTAAAAAATTTGAGTTGCAAAACAATCCCATGCGACTCCATCCAGTGCAATTGCAGTTTTAATCAAAGCCAAAGTCAAAGCCTAGGCCTCGTCTAGTCCACACTATGGGGGAGATAGAGAGCTCCGGAAATGCATTATGTATCAAATAAAAAACGAGCAATTGTAGGCCCTAGAAAAAAAGGGGTTAATTTATAGGTATTAATAGAACTGATGCAAAAATACACGCAAATTGGCGGTGCAAGCGGAAAGAGTAAGAGTAATCTAGTTTATAAGGATTTATATAGAGTTATTCCCCTTCAAAAAGTTTTTCTATAATATTTAAAAAAAATTTCATTAATGAAAAAAACTTTCATATAAACAAAGACTTGTTTTGACTTGTCTCTATAAATGTAAAATATTTGTTGTTGTTTTACCCCCAAATCGATTTAAATTTTTTTAATATATTTAAATATATATGCATATATATATATGGGAACATAGATGATAAAAATAAATACAAGGAATTCAAATACAATTAAGATATATAGCGCCGCTATTAAAGCATTGCGTTTGTTTTTTAAACTAAACTGTATTTTCTGGGCAGCCACAAGGTATGCCTTTAATATTTTCAATATCTTTGCAGATCTTATATTGAGTAGGCAACGAATGGGTTAAAATCTGGTGCTGTAGCTGGCACTTAATTTTTATAAAGCTACAGCAAAATAAAAGTTAAACAAAATGTAATTAAACAATACCAACCAAAGCCAAAAGCAACAACCATTACAGCAAACAACCGCGACATAAACAGCTGCGACAGTTTTCGACTTTTCTGCATTACCAAAAACATTCAGAGGGATATAAAGGAACTGGGGGAGTGGGATTCGAAAATACCCCTTTTACACAATCCGCATTACACTCCCCCATTCACCCAACCCAAGCCGAAAAACCACAAAATGCGTGTTTATTAATTAAGCGCATTTGTTTTCATTAAACAAACGTTTTAATTGAGCATGAAAGTTGGCGCCGCCGAAATAAACGCGACAAGGCAATAGACGTGGCCATAAAAACGAGCTGAACCCTTTAACCCATGCCACCCACCTGACGCACACAAACAGCCAGAAACCGACATAATAATTAATTTCGTTGTATTTTAATGGATTTGCGTTGGTAGACATAAGGAAAAGCTGTGGAAATCCCAATGTGCTCACTGGGTGATTGATGAAAGTGTTTTCCAGGATGAAATTTGTTTCGGAAGAAGAAGGAAAATATTTTAAAATCTTAGCGGTATTTTTAATTTTTATAAAACCGAGGCACAATAAAAAAAAGTTTTAGAAAAAGCAAAACAATTTTGTTTTATGTGTTTAATTTTGTTTACTTTTTTTTCTACTTTCCAAAATTTCAAGGATATCAGTTCTTTACAACGGCGACTAACCCATTTTTGCTTACCCGCTTCATTGCTCACTTCATTCTACCATTCATCTTGGAGTCTCTGAACCGGCTTCTTTTCAACGAGTCCATTGGGTGCAATTAAAATTCGGCCCTGAAATTATTATTATTGCTCATGAAAAACACTTTGCCACCAACAAGCTCTCCCCCCTTCAAAAGCGAAGCTGGGCCAAAATTTTTTGGCTAAGACTTGAACTCGTTGGGATGTTTTTAAAAGCACTTTATACGCCAACCACACGCTGCATGATATAGATATAGATCAACCCCCTCTGCCCATAGTTCCTATGATTATTTTTCATAAACTTGGCAAATGCTTTGGGAAATCCATTTAGCGGGCAAACGCAGCCGCATTACTTTATCTCTATTTGAGGCCATCAGGATTATGATTTGTGTCTGGGTGTGGATACTCGAACTGGGCGAACTGACTGAGTTATGGGGCATGGCAGAGGCATCTACTACTGTGAGGCTGTAAATTATGCCAAGTCAAGGAACTTGGAATGGCTTTCAAAGACCACAAGCACCAAAGTGGCAATGAAAACAATTTGATAATGATATATGTGGGATATTGATAAGGAATAAACGTAGTGCACACCCTAAGATAATAGTTAATTTAATTACCTGAAGGAAATTGATTAGATTATCCTCAGCCTCTTAACAAACATTACTTACGGATAAACTTTACAAAATAATTGTTTCCATATGATAAAAAAAACAAATGAACTCATAAACAATTAATTTGGTTATATTTAACAATCCGAGCCAGCTTGATAAACTTAAATTTGGAAATATTTTGGGTGGCTGTCCTATAGCTTCAATATAAATATATGAAAAATGCTTAAGTGTATTTCGAATTGTTAATCATGCGTTAAGTAACACTTTTGGTTTCGTGGAAATTTCAATGTTCCGCTTAGGTAAGCGATTTGATACAAAAACGTCTATCAGTTGGAACTTTTTGATTATTTAAAATGGGAAAGTGCAGGTGAGCAATCAAAAAATATATTTAGTAAAGATGATTTCTAATGTTTTACAGCTTTCTGATTTTGGGAACCTTGGCAACCATAGCCTTCCAAGAAGTTTTTACCTTGCAACCAGGTCCATGTCGAAAGTTGGTCCAGAGCTATCCACCAGTTTGTTCACCAAAACCACTTACTATGGATCCTTAATAACAGTTTTCTACACCCATGCAGACCACCATTAAGGGCAAAATGATACATCACTCCCTTTATCTGGATATATTTACAAAGGGGGAAAAGAAGCAAAATAAGCCACTCAATGTATGCCTTCACGTTGATTTCCAAGAATCTTTTCTGAAGGGATATACGGTTATAGGTACGGATAATAAGGACTTCGCGGTCCTGTACAAATGTAACTATTTCGACGACTCAAAGTCCAACGTTGGTAAGTACTTACTTACATTTATATGCAGCTGAAATAAGAATAATTTATTTTTACTCTAGAGCTGATCAACACGTATACTAGGCTGAAAACTCCGAGCAAGGATACTTTAACTTTAATTTCCCAGGCCTTTAAAAAGAATGGCCTAAAGGAAAATAGCGAACTGATCTTCTGTCAGTGAGATCGAGAACCGGAATCTAATTCAATCCATACAGGCAAAGTAAGGTCAAAAGTAGCGCACGACGAATTTTTTAATGCTTTTATTTGAAGTTGTTTTTTATTGGTTTCCGTTGCTTTGTTATACAAATCCAATTTGCGCCAATGTGCGGGGAAATTTTCCTCTCACCTTACTTTCTTTCCCCATTTCACCCTCTGCTTGTCATAAAAATATGCGACATTTCGTTTTTATCGCTTTTGAAAAACTTTATTCTTGGCTCTTTGGTGTTCAATTCCTCCTTGCATTGCTTTTTATTTGTGACGCTCGATTGGCGATTGAAAAGCGCCCGATTGGCTGCGATTTCTGGACTCTTTTGGTTGGGGAAGTACCATGGACAGATATTGATAATTTTTAATTAAATACAAAGTAGTGTATGTTAATTTTTGGAAAAAATAAAAATAGTTAAAGACTAAATAAAACTATTTTGGATAACGATAAATACTTTTCTAGCCGTTGGACCAAAAAGTTTTCTTGTTACAATAAAAATTTTCTTAAATATAATTTATATAAAGTTTTCTAAAAGGACAGCCTTAGGTAAAAAAATTGTTGTTGTATTTATAAGTTTAGATTTTTTAAAAAATTAGTTTAAAACTCATTTAAAGGCTAAGGCTAAGAAAAGCAAACTAATTGCAAATATTTCCCTTGCATTGCCAACAATTTTTTGAAAACACGGGAGTAATTGGCAAAAATTTTAAGGTAATTTTTCCGAATTTTTCTGAAATTGTTTATGAGTACAAAAGAAGGCAACGTTAGAAGAATCTTAAATTGTATTACCAAATAGCGATGATTTCGTGGAACACTGAACCTTGTTATTGAAAAAGTTATTTCATTTAAATTCGCCCACTGTAATTCTGCCCCACCCAACCAACACCAAGTTAACATCATCAACAACATGGCAGAGACCCCACTTCCCCCACCTCGCTGAGGGGAAAACAGCTTTTCCGCGTCGTCATAAAATGCAAGTGGTCAAGTGGAGGAGCTCAAAGCCAAAGTCAAAGAGGAAATCACAAAATGAAAAACGAAGAAAAACAATTAAATGGCTAGAAGCAGCGGCAGCAGTCGACAGAAGCAAAACAAGCGAATAAACTTGGGAAAATTCTTGGGTGGAGCGGGGAAAATGGGGAGCGGGAAGTGGGAAAGCGAAAACTGAAAGCTGCATTTGCGACACGTCGAAAAGCGTCAGCGCCAATGGCAACTCAGTTTAATTGAAATCAAGTGGATCGGAGGGGTTGGAAAATGTGGGTGGGCATGGCGAGAATAGGGGTAGAGTAGGGTATCGAGTGGAAGGTTGATTGCCGGGGTGGATTGCAAATCGAATTGAAACGCCGAAACGTATTCGAAAATCGACAGCAAACGTAATTGAAATTGCATGAGCAACAATGTGCGGTGGGTAAAAAGTGGGGACGAGAGGTGGTTGCAAAATGGGGGAAGTGGGTGTGAGGAAGTGGGGGTGGAGCTGCCAAATGGAGGAGATCCAAACGAGTGGACAGACCCCCAATCAGCCGGTTGCTTACTTTACACATAAATTGGCAACACTGCGGCAGAAGTGGGGCACAAACTATAGAAGAAAGAGGACCTGAATAATACACTACAACTTAATTCTGGTGGATACTAATATAATATTGATTACCAATTAATTAAACATTATGGTATTAAATATTAGACTAGTAACGACATTAATTTCAAAATTAATTTGTATTAAGTTAATCTGGCTAGCTAAATATTCTTTAGTAACTTAAAATCATTTTATTCCTAACAAAAATTTATTAATTTACTTCTTATTTGTCAAGTATTTATATTGCATAGTTAGAAAAATCTTTTTGAAAGTAAAACAAAACATAAAATTTGTTTGCATATTTATTAAGAAACTAGTTCTTTTAAATAGTCAAAATACCTTACCTCAATACTTGCAACTTTTCCCAATTTCATTTCCTTGACTTCTTTGACTTTTTATGGATTTCAATACGTTTTCCTGTTACCCCCAGCCACAAAAGAAAATTTATGGACCATGTTTAAGAAATTAAATTCCCAGCAGCTGCCAGTTTCTTAAACTGATTAACAGTTGGCAAAATTTTTGTTTAATTACTGCGGCAGAAAAATAAATCCATTTCTGCAGTCAGATAAATTTCCATTTAGTGATTCATGCAAAGATCTCGACTTGGCATAAGGCAAATTTTTGAAGCAATTTGCAAATTGTTTTCTAAGCGCACATACAGATACAAATACTATCAATGGAGAAAGAATTTGTGGGCGAGCGAGGGGTTGGAAAAGTGTCAGCAGAATAAATGCTGACAATAAATAAAAATGGAAAATGATTGAAACATGTGTCAGGCATTTTCGATTTTTTGATATGCCATGCACGTCCTATGGGCCCTCCTTCTTCATCTCCTTCACCCTTGTCTTCCTGACACTGTTTCTATACTTTGGCGTATGCCAATAGCCTGGAAATGTAAACAAATAAGAAAGCAATCAGAGGCGACATTTTCTAACCTAACGTGAGTGCGCACGAAAGTATGCTATAAAAAATATGATGAGTCTGACGAAGCGGCGGAAACTGTGAGTAAAAAAGGAAACGATATGATATAGAATAACACGAATGCTCATAAAGATTGTTGCTAAAGAAGTGTTCACATTGTACTTAAGCGAGGTTAAGGGGGTAGTATAGAAATTTAAATTCTCTATTGTTTTGTCCTATACACCTCGAGAAACTAGTTTTAGGATATTATTTTTCCCCAAAGCTGTTAAAGTTTACTTTGAAGTTGAGTTTTACAAATTTTGAACACTTAAAGTATTTTATACAATTATTTTTTAATAATTTAAGTAATTGTTGTTATGAGTTTAACAAAAGGAATTTAAATAGTGTTAAACCAAAAAATATACTATTCCAATATTTACATTTTCATTTTTAAAATTCTTAACAAAAAGTAGAAATAAGGCTTTTGTACTTAATTTTAATTTGACTTTATATTTTTACTAATGGTATGGACCTAATTATAAATGATATATTTCCGTAAAATCATTTTTTAATATTTTCCCTCGGCCAAAGCTACCTCTTTCCACGTCCTATCAATATCAATAAGCCATATCGGTGTCATTGGATGACAGGCCCAACTAATACCATATTGATTGCCTGACCAATAAAACTCCACCCACGAGGGCATTTGCACCACATAACTCGGCATCAGGCGGCACATCCTGTTGAAGTATAAAAGGGTTTATGGCTTGTTTGCAAAAAAACGAAAATAAATAAAAACAAGAAAGGAAAGCTAACTTCGGGCGGAGCCGAAGTTGATATACCCTTGCAGAATACTCTGTTAATTATATTCTCCAAAATTATTCATATGATGCATTCTCAATACTCATAAAAAATCCCAACTTCCTAACTTTAAAAACACCAAAGTTATGGCATTTCCAATCGTTCAGTTATATGGCAGCTATAGGATATAGTCGGCCGATCCTTATGAAATTTGGTAGGTCGGATTGATTGGCCAAAAATAAAACCCATAGAAAATCCCAACTTCCTAACTTTACAAACACCAAAGTTATGGCATTTCCGATCAATCAGTTATATGGCAGCTATAAGATATAGTCGGCCGATCCTTATGAAATTTGGTAGGTCGGATTGATTGGCCAAATATAAAACCCATAGAAAATTCCAACTTCCTAACTTTACAAACACCAAAGTTATGGCATTTCCGATCAATCAGTTATATAGCAGCTATAGGATATAGTCGGCCGATCCTTATGAAATTTGGTACGTCGGATTGATTGGCCAAATATAGAACCCACAGAAAGTCCCAACTTCCTAACTTAACAAACAGCAGAGTTATGGCATTTCCGATCAATCAGTTATATGGCAGCTATAGGATATAGTCGGCCGATCCCGGCCGTTCCGACTTATATACTGCGTGCAAAGGAAAGAAGGGTGTGTGCAAAGTTTCAACTCGATAGCTTTAAAACTGAGAGACTAGTTTGCGTAGAAACAGACAGACGGACAGACGGACAGACGGACATGGCTATATCAACTCAGGAGGTGATCCTGATCAAGAATATATATACTTTATAGGGTCGGAGATGTCTCCTTCACTGCGTTGCACACTTTTGACCAAAATTATAATACCCTCTGCAAGGGAAATAATAATAGCGCAGGGAAAGGAGAAAAAAATCCCGAACAAACATTAATTTGTAACGCACGTTTGGCCAATTTCGGTTTTACAATTTTGACCAAAAAATGTACCCCAAGTGACCGCATAACGAGCGCAAATCAATTTGCCACGTTGATAAGCAACCCTCTGACGATGATAACCCTTTTTTATCCCTTCGCCCGATGGGCCTCTGCTGTCATAGCCGGGGATTTATAGATATTAAATTAGACAGGATTTTAACACGCGCACGTAACTTTGACATACATCAACCGGACTTAACTTTGTACAACGCAAAGAAAAATAAAAATAGGAGAGACAAAAACAATCTCAAATAATGCAAATTGTATGCCAAATGTTGAGATTTGTTTTGCTGACCGAACCAGAGCATAAAAAAGTAACATAAATATTTCCTGATACGAACACACATGTGTCCCAGCTGCGTCAGTCTTCGCATCCTGCGGTTGCCCCAATTTCATTTCCGAAACGCATTATAATCATAATAATAATAATAACAGTAAGCAAAGATGACAGCAAATTTCAAATAGGTGTGAAACGAAAACTCTGTTGTGTATAGATTGGTCAGCAGTTGGTTTTCGGGTTTCGGATTACGGGGATATAAGGGGTACAAAGTCACATATGTTATGTGGCCAATGGAAAATTCAAATTGGGAAAAGGATTATTGACCAAATATTGGCTTGTATTTGGGGGAGGGTTAAGCTTTTAGTTTAGATTGGTCAAGTGTTAAGAATAAGATTTCTGAACGTGTTTAAGAAGTTTTGGATTTAAAAACTTATAAATTAATTTTTCTCAGAAGGCCAAATTCATGGGCAAAAACACACGTAGCCAAAGTATTATTTTTATTGTCGTTTTCTTTAGAAATTGTATAATTCTACCTTTTAACAATCAAATCATAAATAACAAATTCTCGAAGACAACCTACCTCCATTTGCAGTTTAATGAACTGTGAGTAAGGGGTAATCCCAGACCGATGGCCCCGCTTTCCATAGGCACCAATCCAAGACATTAGCTATGGCTATTTACCTTTCAGTTTGTCTGAGTTGAGCTCACATTTTAGGGTCAACATGTGAAAGAAAATAAAAATCTCACAAATTATTTATTAATTACCCAGCGCAACCTCTTTTGATTCAACTCAAAAGACAACTTTGCAGCGAGTTTGGTTCATACTATAGGCCTGAAATAGTGTTTTCAATTCTCTGCTTATCGCTATTGTAAATTTTAATTTCTCTCTCCAGCTTCCTTCT